TTTTTTGAAATCTTATGTTTTATAAAAATCAATTACCTTCGCACTCTTGCACTATTGTGCACCATGGCTTCCATTATTTCACTCGAAAGCGCCGCTCAGGTTGAGATGGTTTTTGAGATGTCTTTATGGATGACCCTGCAACCCCCAAGAGGGCCCGAGGCAGAGGGATAGCCTAAGGAACCCTGTTGGGTCGAAAACAGTCAAGATGGGCATATTAAGGGTTCAAAACCTGCTCAGTCGACGTACATACCCAAGGTGGACAAGTTGATAAGCGTTGCAAAAGGCTTAGAGGTTGCACAATTCTGCTGTCGTTTGGCCGATTCGTGGTGCTATCTATTTCCACACCCCCTCGCGGTCTGCAATTACGTACTAACTGCAAATACCGTAACCCTACGCTTGGTTTTATCGGGTATGGGTACTCACGTGCATCCGAGGATGCGCGCGGCAAATTGCGCGGCGAAGTGCGTGGTGATTCGAACGACTCTAACGCCTATCATTGGGGTCAAATTCGAAGTAGGTAGTTTAGTAGAGTCAGCTGATACTACTAATCTACTCTACTTCAAATTTGGACCCCAATGGCAGGCGCCAGAGTCGTTCGAATCCCCACGCACTTCGCAGCGCAATTTGCCGCGCGCATCCTCGGACGCACGTAAGTTCCGTCCCCCGGTTTTATCCAGTTTCATAGACTTAGCAGGGTGGTTCGCATGGGGTTCATATGAATAGATTCGCTTCTTTTTAGCTTCCAGCTTTTCACATGGTTGTCTAGTTTGTTTTCTTTTTTTCTGTATTTCTTCTTTTAATTATTCTTTTTGACCAATTCTTAACTGTGCATCTATAAGATGCGCTCAGGTTATCCAACTTCGCAGTCTGACAAGGGTAATCACAGGGTATTTCATATGAATAGATTCGCTCCTCATCAGCTTTTCACAACTTTTTTCAGCGTTGCCTGCCCACTTTATTTTTATGTTGAGTTGTCCACCTTCATATCTTCTTTTAAGTCTTCGTTTCGATCATTTCTCAACAGCGCATCTATAAAATGAGTCAATGCACGTTTAATTCCTATCTAGATCACGACGAATTCCAACAGTTGCCTTCTCAGTGAACTGTAATCAAACCTATGAATTAGAAATTTGAATTTCTCTGCATTCTGGAATATTAAGAAGAGCAGTAGAAAATATCTTGAAACCATTCGTTGTTAAAGTCTGAATCTTTTGCTATTTAGATGAGGCTGGCAGTATTCTACTGACTACGTTAACCATGACCTCATTCAAGGCATAATTAGCGCTTCTAGACCTACCATACTAGCACCACCCAAATTATTACATGTTGTACATGAATACTATTGCAGAAGCATTACTATCAAACTAGTTGATGTTCATGAGAGAAAAATTTTGCACAACATCCCTCAGCCCTACATTGTAAAAAAATTTGCATCAATTCTTTGATACTTTGATATCGAAGCATTATAGTGTTGCCCATTTAAGGTTCACACGATGTCTTTACCCTTTTTCTTCTTGCCCCTTCCTAGCGTTTCAGAATGTAACGGAATCTACAATTTAATAACCTATATCAGTTCGGCTGATTGTTTCAGCTCAACAATTAAGTAGTTGGCGGAGGTGAAAATGGTCTTCCTTGAAACTAAATGTGCATACGTGTAAATTGGAAGAAGAAAAGCCTAACATGAGAAACGAACCACACAGCTATATCAAAAAAGTAGTGAAAAATTGAAAGCTGAAAAGGAGCGGACCTATTCATTCAAACCCCATGCGAATCACTCTGCTAAGTCTATGAAACTGGATGAAACCGAGCGTGTGTTACGGTATTTGCAGTTAGTACGTAATTGCAGACCGCGAGGGGGTGTGGAAATAGATAGCACCCCGATTCGTCCCATAGCGCCGCGCATTCACGCCGTTTGCGAGGAGGACAACTCGTCCAGTTATCGGGCAACCCACTGTCCATTCAGCTGATAGAAACCCGATCGATGAACCCTACTATTAGACGCCGAATTGTGGATCAGCTTGTGTTTCGCCTGTCAACATGGGATCATCGATCGGGCTTCTATCAGCTGGATGGGCAGTGGGTTGTTCGATCTACTGAACGAGTTTCCCAGCAGCAAATCGCGTCGAATGCATGGCACAATCGAGGGAGGGGGATCGCGCCGAACGATATACACCCGTATGCAATGGAGCGCGCGTTCGAGCAGCTCGTCCAATTTCGCTTTCATGCAGTCTTTCCGTAACATTTTCGTCCAACCCCTAATTACTTTATTCTGGAGAATTTGTTATTTGTTTAGTTGTTTCAAACGGAATCACATCGTTTCAAGGTGTCGTTGCATGCTTCTTTCCCAGAAAATCGGATCGGTCATGGCAACTCTCGACCATGTTTCACCAAGCAGTGACGCAAACGTGTCTCGCCATCTCAGATCGGACCGTTCTATGAATTGTTTCCATTTCACTACCTCCACTAAGAGATTATTCTCGTCCATCTATCGTCTTTTCTCATCTTCTTCGCTCACTTTTTGACTGCTATATCTGAGAGTTTAATGACACCCTCCAACCAGGTATTGGTACGGCGACCTATGAGTGTTACTCCTGGCTTTTTTGCATCATCCTCCGCGGTGCAATTTCCTCATTCCATTCTCTTTTCTCCTCATTGCCCACGTTTCGCAACCATAGAGCAGCGCTGGCTTTACAAAAATTTCGTAGGCAAGACATTTGACCTCATCGAAATGTTTCTGGAGTTAGGAAAGAGCGAAGATGTTGAATGCACTTCATCCAGTATGAATCCTCCGTTCTATCATATCTCAACGGTATAATCAAGGTTGAGATTTTGTGGCCAAGATATATAAAACTTGCCCTTCGATGATAATTGGTCGATTTTTGGAATTGGTCATGATCGTTCATCTTAAATAATTGGTTCTCGAGCCAACAAAGCTTTTTTCGTAGGTATCCTGTCATAGTTTGGAGTTCTTGTGTGTTGTGCGCCGCAAATCCCACAACGTTTGCATATCTCAAGTGATTAAGGTAACAACCGCACACTTAATTTTCGTCGCATTTGGATCGCACAGTAAAACCATGTAGTTTGATATTTACTTTGCTCCGCTTATGAATGTTCAAGAGAAGCCGAATAATTCTGGATGAGTACTTTGACAGGATAACGATTCCCAAAGATAGTCACGCTCAACAGAACACAGAATCGAACGCTTCGAAATAGTCCATGAAGGCAATATACAATACGAAGCCATATTATACTCCTAGCTTCTCTCCACTAGCTGATCAACGACGTGAATGTGTTCCACGGTTTAGAAGCTTCTGTGAAGACAGCCTGTTCAACTGGTAGGTGGTTTTCCGAAGGAGCCGCCATTCTCTGACCCTAATGGAAGCAAATAGTACGTAGATTTTGGACAGAGAAGCAAAAATGGGGCAAAAATTCCGATTATTTAAATGGTCTCCTCTCTGAACAGCAGTCAAAACGACGATTCTAATAGGTTGATGCATAATTTTTGCAGTTTTTTCTCGCGGCTTCTGTTCTCTTTATAGGATTCGATAAATGCATTCGGATTTTTTATAGAAATGATCTTCGCTGACAGTCTTGTGGCGTCAGCGGATTTTATATTCGCTTGAGTGGATGGAACCTTGTCCTTTGAAGAAGACGAAAACGTCGGAGCGTCAGGCCGTTGAATAATAAATTGTTCCACATAACAACTTCGCACGGCACAAGAACATTATAATCATAATCTTCCGCTTTCCTCAACAGAAATGTCTGTAGAAAGTCATTTTCATTACATTACATTTGTTGTCGTTATTCATCTGACATAAACAGAGAAACGGCCATGACTCCGACCGCAAACATCTTAAAATCATCTTCCCATCGTATACGTGTTCGTCCCAGTTAGTCTCATACCATAGGACTTCCATTTCATCAGTCTCACTTCCCACCTTGTCTGGTCTCTTGTCATTAATTTATTAGCATAGATCTACTTGCGCTTTCTGGCTTCGACGACAGCGTCCTTAAGTTTAGTCCTTGCTCGTAGTAGTGCATTTGATACCATGTTAGAAGACGGAGACCCAGCATTTGGCGCTCCATTCGTCGCTGAAATTTTCTAATGCGATCTTCCGCTGCCTTGGTTAAGGCCCACGTTTCACGACCATACACTATAGTGGGTAACACGCAGGTGTGAAAGAAGCGTCGTTTAGTCGTAATTGGTGTCATTCGGCTTCTCAACAGAGCTCAGACTTTTCTGCTGATACTCCACGCAGCGCTGATCCTTCGATTGACTTCTTGCACACGATCTTGGGGGAAACACACGAGTTGGCCCAAATGTACGAAAGACGATACCGACTCAATTTCTTCACCATTGGCTTTAAGTTGCTGTCCATTGGGGTTGTTTGACATCCATTTTGTTTTGCTCGAATTCACTTTGAGTCCGACCGTCTTGGACACATCAATGTGTTTATCAACATTGCTTGTAGCCCATCGACTGTAGGTGAGCACAGAAACAGGTCGTCGGCGTAGGCGAGGTAGTTAAGGCGAACGTGTCCAATGGGGCAGCCTTGGTTGCACTAGTCGATTTAATCGAGACACGATTGAAGCGTTAAAATAAATAACAGTGGAGATAGAGAATCGCCTTGCTTAACACCACGTTGTATGTCTATCTCCCTCTCCATTGTGCTCAAAGCCCAAAACGATCGTTCAGCGGCATACAGTTGTTTGATCAACCTAACTGTAACTGAACTTCTCCAGTGCTTTCCAGATGATTTTGTTTTCAATTGTGTCAAAAGCTTTCTGGTGGTCAATAAAGACCATGTTGAGTGGTTTCCTCCATTCTTTACATTTCTCTTTATAGGTTGACTGACAGGATACGATCACGAGTGGAGAAACTACGTCTGAAACCAGCTTGTTCCTCAGGGACGAGCTCCATAGCCACTTCTTCCACACGACGGGCCAGTGCGCGGGTTAGAACTTTAAGGACAGTCGACAGAAGAGAGATTGGTCTGCAGTTACTGATATTCAGAAGATCGCCTTTTTTTATAGAGGAGGATCGTCTTTGCCTCCATGAAACTTTCTGGAATTTCATCAACCTCGAAATGGTGGTTTAATACATTCGCAAGGCCTTCCGCGCATAGAGGTACCAGATGCTTCGTCACTCCAGATGGGATTCCGTCAGCTCCCGGTGCAGTGTTTCTGCGAATCCTCCTACATGCATTACGAAGCTCCTCTGCTGTTATCGGGCGTCAGAGAACCGTTCGCTGATAAGACGAAGGGACCATCACGTGATTTGTAGAGGTCGTTATAGAACGTAGTTGCAATAACTATGGCTTCCTGTGGTGTCATTGTTAGGGTACCATCAGGTTATTGCTGTGCTATTTGTCGACGTTCATACGCTAACTCATGTCTTACATGCCTTATCTTCAATTTGTCTATAGCACTATTCATGACTCGGTCGTTGTGCTTGCGGAGATCATCTGTTAGTGACTATCTGACTTGTTTGCACAGTAATGTGTATTGCACAACAGATATTGATCCACTTGGGAGTCCAAACTTTTGATTTCTTCTTTCTTCCATTAGCGCCAGTGTTCTAGCAGAAACTCGCTCCACTCTTCCCTGCCGTATTTGTGATACAGCTATGCAATTACACGCAGCCTTCACGAAACTTTGGATCTCGAAGCCATTTGCTGGACGTGTCTGCGTTGCCTTTGCTGCTTGAAGTTTGAGCTTCTCAAAAAGTGGAGGTAGAGGTCTTGGCTTCTGCGGAAAATGAGCAGGTTTCATGCACATAGACAAAGTTATTCGTACCATCTGGTGATCACTCCCTACATTGCATCCGGAAATGGTCGACACGTCACGAACGTACTTCAAATTCTTGCTCAGAACGTGATCAATTTCACTGCGAGTGTTTCCGATTGGACTTCTCCAAGTCCATTTTCTCCCAAATCTTTTTTTAAAAAATGTATAAGCGATTACAAGATTATTGGAGTCGTAGAACGAAAGCAGTGAATGCGTCGGTCATTCCGGTCACCAGTTCCAAAAAGCCCGCAAGCAATTTCTTTGTTTCCTGAACGTCCAACGATTGCATTAAAGTCGCCACAAATGATTTTCGGCATCGCTTCATTTTTCGTAGTTATCTTTGCAGCTTCCATTTCGTCCAGGAATCGTTCGAACTCGTCGTCTGTTGCTGCAGAGGTCGGAGCGTGCACTTGAATAATGCTAAAACGTCTTCGTTTTATAAGAAATTCGGCCTGTATTACGCGATCACTAATGTAACGCAGAACAGCAAGCTTTTTGTTTATACGTAACGACATGTATAACCCTACTCCAGCATACGTGGGAGCACCGTCACAACGTCCATTCTTGTAGAGCACAAAACTAGATCCAAGTTGAGTGCACTCACGGTTCGGTCTTCGAGTTTCAGCTAGCCCAATTAAAGCAAATCTCACGTTCTTGAAATTGGCATCGAAATCCACGAGTCTCTGTTGAGAGCATAATCCTCGGACGTTCATGGTGGCTATCTTCATGAAGGTTCTTGCACGGGAATCGCTACTGCCGGGTGGGTTTGACGGCGTAGTCGTCGTTGGCAGGAAACCAACCGTCCGCGGGGAGAGTCATTTTCATATTTGCCACATTATGCCCTATTACTTCGAGAAAGGTTGGGAGGCGGCATAGTCATTTAGCGATCTCAACGAACTTGTCCACGATAGAACAGTCAGCCGAAGCCAAGTAATGAATAAAATCTGCTCCCAAATCTACCCTATTCACGAACAGAAACACATGGATTATCACGCCAATCGTCCGTTGGAAAATTGGCCTGCGATCGGAATTTACGACGACATGGATGACATCGCCGTAAGAACTCGAAAATTCACGCGTATGTCGCGAACTCGCGTCTCGCGTCTGTAGATCGGTTCAGAGTGGAGTAATCCAAAAGACGTGCAAACCATTGAACTCAGCTCGTCGAGCTCTATAAGATGATACCATGAAGTGTTGAAAAGGCCCTTTTCGGATTGCGGCATGCACTTGAGTTTCATCTGAAATTTAATTGTGTACATGAGGTCCACGCTTCGGTGCTTGTAGTGGCTATTTGGTCCCTGAGTATGAAGCGTTCAGAATTCGTTTTGGGGTGCTCCAAGTACTCGTCTTTACTCAGTACAACGTGAGAGTATTAATCGGTTGTATTCAGTCTTTATCGTTCATTTCTAATGAGGAGGCTGTAGGTGACAACATATACAGTCTCTGCACCCAGCACTCATCCTTACAGGTTCTATTGAGAATATGGCACCATATTTCGGCAAAATTTTCAAACTTTGGAGGGATTTTTTTCGAGATCTAAAAAGGTGGCATTGAGATACTGCATTGGCGTATACAACTCTTTATTCTCTACAGGACCACTGTAATATACTGCTACTACACCTTATCATAAACCAAAATGTCTCCCTTGGTATGGCACCAAATATCGAACTTTTTCAGGCCCAGTTCATAAAATTCTGCTTTTTCCTTTTTGATTGGCCTTTTCGCAGCTAAGTTGTACACTGTTAGATTCCTCGTGAAAATGCTATCGAGTGATATATGGCTCAACCAGCAATGAAATCCTCCCTTCTTAACCATTTTCAGCCCTATGCCTGGCGCCGAATGGTTTTCTGTTGGGTGTATTTGGATAAGCACATAGCCGGTTACTGTAGTGGCGCGGGGTTTGAATGGCGGCTCTGAAGGACTGGCTGCTTTGATAGTCCACGATTTGGCCCGCGAGCGCGCCAGTCGGGAGACTACTCGGCCGGCGGTATCGACCGAGATCCAGTTGTAAACAAGGGGCAAGCGCCGCCCCTTACCGGCGCGCTTGCGGGCCAAACTTAACAGTGTACAACATAGCTGCGAAAAGGTCAGTGGAAAAGGAAAAAACAAAATTTTATGAACTGGGTCTGACGAAGTGTTTGGGGCCGTACCAAGGGAGACATTTTGACTTATGCATTTTGACTTATGATAAGGCGCAGTAGCACTACATTATAGTAGTCCTGTAGAGAATAAAGAATTGTCCACGTCAATACAGTGTCTCAATGCCACTTCTTTAGATCTCGGAGAAATTCCCTCCAAAGTTTCGAAAATGTCAAAAAAAGTCGACTCAGTTATTTGCCTTAAAATGGGGTAATATGCTCAGTAGAACCTGTAAGAAGGAGTGCTGGGTGCAGAGACTGTGTATGTTGTCACCTACAGCCTCCTCATTAGAATTGAACGATAGAGACTGAATACAGCCGATTAATACTCTCACAATGTTCTGAGTAAAGTGAGTACATGGCGCACCACAAAACGAATTCTGAACACTTCATACTCAAGGACCAATCAGCCACTACAAGCAATAAGGCGTGCACCTCATGTACATGCATTTAAATTTTAGATGGAACTCAAGTGCATGGCGCAACCCAAAAGAGGCATTTCAATACTTTATGGTATCATCTTATAGAGCTAAACGAATTGAGTTCGTCGCTCAGATGCTCCTCTTCTGGAACCGATTTATGAAGAAAAGAAGGAAAAGACGCGAGTTCGCGGTATTTGCGTGAATTTTCGAGTCTTACGGCGAGTACTGCACGTCATATGCCGCCAGCAACATTTCGATAGTTATTCCCTCTGGTCCCGGTATTTTCTGCAACTTTATCTATTTGATAGCGATTTCGATTTCTTCGGGCAAAATTAATGGCAAGACTTCGAAGTTCTGGGGGGAGTTGTGAAAAGATGTCACTAATGCAGTTGAAAAAAAACAAGCTAGTGTAGAATTCTTGTACGGGAACGGCGTCTAATGGTGTCATCAGTCTCTTTGAGTTGTATCAATGTTGTTCTAGAGATTTGATTTTCCTGTAGTGCACGACGTAAACTCGATCCTTCGCAGATCGTCTCCTGCAGACTTAGAGAACGTTTTTGCGTCAGCATTCAGCTTGAGCGGAGGACGTAGCACTTCCTGATCGAAGAGAAGTTGACTGCATTGATTCATGATTGCCTATGTGTCTTTTTTCGTACAATTTCCCGGTGAATTCAGCAAAATGAACCTTTTTGGGACGACTGGATGTGGCAGTATCAGCTGCAGTGCTGAAGGCTTTATTTATAATACTTTTTCGTAACTGCCAGAACTTATGTTTAAAGTTAGACACTTCAGCAGCAGAATGCCGGTCTGCTTGAGGTTGTAGTGGCCTTGTTCTTCCTCAAATATCGTTGTCGTTCAGTTTGTAAGCGAGTTTTAGCCAGAACAATTCTATAAATATTGACTAATTTGAATCCACCAATGATATCTACATCTTGTCTGCATATTAGGCGAGCCCATGTCCATCCTGGACCGTAACTTTTGGAACTAGTTGTTCATCATGTACAATTGATTCTCCACACAGTAACTTGCGAGAACATGTCCTCTTTCTTCCGAGTTCCTTATTAAGTAAACTATTCATGTCTTTCTCCACTTCCAAATCGTAGCATCAAAGTCGCCAACGTCAATTTTAGTTAAGCATTGATTTTCATGTGGAGAAGTTAGGCAGTGATTATAGAGTCGAGCAGTCAAGGCTTAAGGCAATTGTTCCACAAATTCTTCGTATTCTTTATCTGGGTAAGTAATAGTCGGCGCATACCCTTGGACCGCTTTTAGTTTCCTACCTCCGATCATGAAATCTACATGAGCAAGCCTCCCTGAAATGACCTGGAGCGAGCAAAATCCGTTCCCTTTTTGTTAATCAAAAATCTTGTCGGACTCGATATGTAAATCATATGACCAGAACCTTGCAGTACCGGAAAGGTCAATGATGCCAAATGGTACCTTGGTGGCGTCCTCTTCAAGTTCTGTCAATTCTGCCTCTGTTCGGTGTGGGCGGCAGATAATTGCTCCATTCCGAAGTTGAAGCATGTTGGACGATAGCCAGTAGCTTGGACAGCGACATAACGCTGTCCAAGCTACTGGTGCAAAATGATGAGGGAGGACAACTTTGTAGTCGACCGCTCGCCGGAGTAGAGGTCAAATAACTTTCGTTAGATCCAATTGAAGCCTTACTTCAAAATTATCGTGTCTACGCCTCTAACTTGAAAAAGGCAGTCAATTTATTATGACCAGTGCCTTTAGGGAATTGGGTGACGGAACGAATACTCGCCAAGAAAAATGGGATCTCTAAAATTTCCTCTATCACTCTGTTGAAAAGCCGTCCCTCGCAGACTATCTCTTATCATCAGCATTCGTATCCTATTTGTCACTCACACGATCAAAAAAATAGACGAGCTTCATTTTGAAGGGTTTTTTATCTTCTATGACCACGAATATAATGATAGAGAGGAAACTGGGAATTCCTGGCGAAATTGGTAACACAGGGCTATAACGAGCAGTTAGGCAACGTATTTGTGGCACAGAACACATCCCTTCTCATATTTGCAAGCATAGGCCCTTTCTCATAAATCTTTTGGCAATCTTTAGCACC